ATTGTGTCAAGGGAAATATATTAGGTCTAGTATGGGTTCTTTAGAGAGAGAGAGAGATGATATTGTATCAAGGGAAATATATTAGGTCTAGTATGGGTTCTTTAGAGAGAGAGAGAGAGAGAGAGGGGATGTGGGGGAAGCAAAAGATTTATGGTTTTCTTTTTTTAATGTGTTGGATATTATTAATTGTGCGAATGACTTGCATTTTGCAATTGCAGCTTTCCAACTTGGGAAGGTCTCTTCTGGGAAAAGGCATCTGGTTTTGAGGAGTCAATGAAGTATAAGAAGTTGACAAACGCACAGAGATCTGGTCTCAACCAAATTCCAAACCGTAGGTTTACTCTCTGGTGGTCACCTACAATAAATCGGGCCAATGTTTACGTTGGTTTTCAAGTGCAGTTGGATTTAACTGGAATTTTCATGCATGGGAAGATCCCAACCTTGAAGATATCATTGATCCAGATATTCCGTGCTCACTTGTGGCAGAAGATCCATGAGAGTGTTGTCATGGATCTTTGTCAGGTCTTGGATCAGGAGTTGGATGCCTTGGAAATTGAAACTGTGCAGAAGGAAACTATTCATCCAAGGAAAAGTTACAAAATGAACAGTTCTTGTGCTGATGTGCTTCTCTTTGCTGCTCATAGATGGCCGATGTCAAAACCTAGTCTTGTAGCTGAGCCAAAGGATGTTTTTGATCAAAAGGCAAGCAATAAGTACTGGATAGATGTACAGCTCCGCTGGGGAGATTATGATTCCCATGATATTGAACGTTATACTCGAGCCAAGTTCATGGATTATACAACAGACAACATGTCTATATATCCTTCCCCGACAGGTGTTCATTCACTACGTTCTCTCTCTCTCTCTCTCTCTTTTTTTCCTTCTTCTTCAGATGCTTATCTGTTGGTTTTGAGCCTATAATAATCATGGAAACTTTTCAGGTGTGATGATTGGTCTCGACTTGGCATATAACTTGCATTCTGCATTTGGCAACTGGTTTCCTGGGTCAAAACCGCTCCTTCAGCAAGCAATGAACAAAATCATGAAGGTATTTAGACTTAATAATGCGTTGTTGGTTGATTTCTTAGTGATTTCACACTTAATAATGCGTTGTTGGCTGATTTGTTAGTGATTTCACAATTAGCGATAGAAAAAAACTGATCCTTGTTTGAATTGTATATATATGCAGTCAAATCCTGCTTTATATGTGTTGAGAGAGCGCATAAGGAAAGGTTTGCAGTTATACTCATCAGAGCCTACGGAGCCATACCTGTCATCCCAGAACTACGGGGAGATCTTTAGCAATCAGATTATATGGTTTGTTGATGATACCAATGTGTATCGTGTCACAATTCACAAGACATTCGAGGGAAATCTCACTACAAAACCCATTAACGGAGCCATTTTTATATTCAATCCAAGGACTGGACAGCTGTTCTTGAAGGTTTGCTTTTTCACTCTTGTAAAGATACCGGTCTTGTCATATAGGGGTTCTGAATTTGCCCTTATAACATGATTTCTTCAGGTTATCCACACAAGTGTATGGGCAGGTCAGAAACGTCTAGGCCAGCTGGCCAAGTGGAAAACAGCAGAAGAAGTTGCTGCTCTTGTACGTTCTTTGCCGGTTGAAGAGCAGCCAAAGCAAATTATTGTAACTCGTAAAGGAATGCTTGATCCTTTGGAGGTTCACTTGCTAGATTTTCCCAACATTGTTATAAAAGGAAGTGAGCTGCAACTCCCATTCCAAGCTTGTTTGAAAATTGAGAAATTTGGTGATCTTATATTAAAGGCGACTGAACCACAGATGGTTCTTTTCAACATTTATGATGACTGGCTGAAGAGTATTTCTTCATACACTGCATTCTCCAGACTTATTCTGATCTTACGAGCACTTCATGTGAACAATGAGAAGGCAAAGATGTTACTGAAGCCTGACAAATCGATTGTTACAGAGCCACACCACATATGGCCATCTCTCACAGACGATCAATGGATGAAGGTATCTGCACTTTTTTTAAATTGTTTTGTTTGGTTAAAAGTCCCTTTTAACTGATTTATTTGTTTTTGTTCATTGGTTAAAGTCCCTTTTTACTGAATGTATATGTTCATGCAATAGGTGCTTAACTTCAGATTTTATCACTCTTGTTTTTTCCAAAAATTAAAAATTTTCTTTTATCTGTTCGATCAATAAGTAACTAAGTATCCATATGTTTTATTCTTTCCTTTTTTTCTTTTTTAAAAAAATCTACTGCTTAAAGTCCATTATCTTTGGTGCGTGCTGCTTGTCCTTTTATATTTTATTCATTCTTCAGGTTAAATATGCTGATGTTTTGCATAATACAGGTTGAAGTTGCTCTAAGGGATCTCATACTGTCAGATTATGCCAAGAAGAATAATGTGAATACTTCAGCCCTGACCCAATCAGAGATTCGTGATATCATTCTTGGTGCTGAAATTACCCCACCTTCTCAACAAAGACAACAGATAGCGGAGATTGAGAAACAGGTAAATAATTCATTTGTTGTTGCTATTGTGAACTAAGATTGGTCTGAACAAGCGATAATAACTGATAAAACTCTTCAGTTGTTGACTCATAAAAATTTTGGTTTGATCAGGCGAAGGAAGCAAGTCAGCTGACAGCAGTCACGACGCGGACAACAAATGTGCACGGTGATGAACTAATTGTCACCACCACAAGTCCGTATGAGCAATCTGCTTTTGGATCAAAAACTGATTGGCGTGTCAGAGCAATATCAGCTACAAATCTTTATCTTCGTGTCAATCATATTTATGTAAATTCGGAGGATATAAAGGTAGGTCTATGTTTTTGAGCATCAAATATTGAGTTTGATGACCATTTATGTTCTCTCTTCTATTTGCTGACTTTTGAGCTCAAAATGTTTCAGGAAACGGGGTACACGTATATTATGCCAAAGAACATCCTGAAAAAGTTCATTTGCATAGCAGATCTCCGCACTCAAATTGCTGGGTATTTGTATGGTATAAGCCCACCTGACAATCCCCAGGTCAAGGAAATTCGATGTATTGCCATGCCTCCGCAGTGGGGTACTCACCAGCAAGTTCACCTTCCATCTCAACTTCCAGAGCACGATTTCCTCAATGATTTGGAGCCTTTGGGATGGATGCACACACAGCCAAATGAACTTCCTCAGCTCTCTCCACAGGTCTGTCTTTTCTGTTTTATTGAGTTTCGAACTTTAAAGCTATTGTCGTCACCGTTTCTTGTGTGATTTAGAAAAGAATAACCTCTTTTGTTTCTCTTGTTTTGCAGGATCTTACTAGCCATGCTAAGGTCCTAGAGAACAACAAGCAATGGGATGGCGAGAAGTGCATCATTCTGACTTGCAGTTTCACGCCAGGTTCCTGTTCGCTAACCGCCTACAAGCTTACACCATCCGGTTATGAGTGGGGACGTGTCAACAAGGACACTGGAAGCAATCCTCACGGGTACCTTCCAACTCATTATGAGAAAGTTCAGATGCTTCTCAGTGACCGCTTCCTCGGCTTTTACATGGTGAGGCTGCCTATCTTATCTTTGAACTACTATTGTACTTATTGGTCAAATATGCTATTCCCAGTTGATAAGGGGCCAAGTAAAGCTAACGTCATTATTTCGGTGCTTGTTTTTCAGATCCCAGATAATGGTCCTTGGAACTATAACTTCATGGGCGTAAAACATACGCCCAGCATGAAGTATGGGGTCAAGCTTGGCACACCACGGGAATACTATAACGAGGATCACAGGCCGACCCATTTCCTTGAATTCAGCAACTTGGAAGAGGGTGAAACAGCTGAGGGAGATCGTGAGGATGCATTCTCGTGAAGACTTTAGTATTGTCCTTTCAAATTTTGAACTTTGATCTTAATAATTCTATTAGAGACTTGTAACCCCCTTTGTAGAATTACATCCAAAAGCAAAGGAAACTAGGCCGTAAACCGGCAACACAATTGACAATACATATTTGTTGTAGTAATGCGTGTGGCTACGACATGTTCGGCCTATTTGTAAAGCACTAAAGCGTGTTGTAGCTCTTTAGATTTGCGACTTTGTCAGATATTTGTAAATATATGCTGTAGAAGCAAATTTTATTACGTTGCCGTAGCGTATGCCATTGTATCCTTTCACTCTGCTTTTCAAAAATAATTGTCGTCTCAAATTTTTCTCAACATGATTTTCTCATAAAAAGATGTTTGAGCTGTCGCAAATGAGTTCCAACCATAAAGCGTGTTGAAATTAAACTTATTTGCACGTGTCTTTACACGTTTTCTTGTAAATCTTTTTTTTTTTGTTTTGCTCTTCCATTTTTCAAAGATGGCCGACTATGAAAGCTCATTTTCTCCCTTTCCTTGCTGGAACTCTGAAAAGAAACACCGGCCATTCAAAGAGAAGAAAAAAAAATGAAAACAAAAGGAGAAGGAAACACCAGCTGCATATATGTTACGAATAACAAAAAAAATATAACTGGAAAGATTCCCATGCTCTATTCTAAGTCATACCTGTTAAAAGTTTCCTTATTGGCATGTTGTCCCACTCAAAATGTAGGTCTTAACATTACGTCCAAAGGAAATGGCACCGACGCTACAAAATTTGTCGGTGCTGAGAAAAATAATTTAATTTCATTAGCTACGTCTTCATATTCTGTGTGGTGTAGAAACTTGAATTAGAGACATTTAGACCCGTTCATTTCACCTATTCGAGTTTAAAATTTAAGTTCTATTATAATAAAAAAATCTCAAAAACAGTCACATCTAACTTTTTTACTACAATAAAAAACTCACATAAATCACATCTCAATTCAAATTAAAAACTTGAATCAGCAAACTAAACGAGCTCTTAAAATTTTGATTTCATCACAAACTTTATAAGACGAGATTCATAGGTGACATACGACAACAGACGATGTGGTGAATGGTCTAACATCTAAATACAATTACGTCACAGCCATTTCTGTCGTATGAAAGAGAAATGACGATTAGACTATAGGAACAGTTCTTGCCATTCACATATTCAGAAACAAACAGAGAAAAGGAAATAAATGGAAAAAAAAAATGCAAAGAGAAAAAAGATATACGCACACAGTATTCACAGCACTCAAAAAAAAAAAAAAATGCCTTTTAGAGCAAGAACTGCTACAATATCCCTGGCGTTTTTGTGTAAATTGACAGCCAGGGTCTGCCTTGCTCCAAGGAATGAAAACACAAAATATCAAATGTCCAAATTCTGCACCTAAATGTTCCTCACAGTTGTTCAGCAACTCCAGGCCCAGCTTCCTCCTTTAACTCCTCTTTTGAACTCTTTTCCTCCGAGATGGAATCTGAGATCTCTTCCATAGCAGCGCCATTCTTATGATCTGCGGGCTGTGGGTTCTTAAATAGTTCATCATCTTCTAGTTTGGCTAGTTTCTCTTTTGATTCTCCCTTTAGCAGTTCCACCACCTCAAGCATGGTAGGTCTTTTCTCCGGCCGAGAATGCGCGCAGAGGAGTCCAACAAGGATGACTCTTTTCAGCTCATCTTCCACGTAGCTCCCGTTCAGCTTGGGATCCGCTAATTCTTCGAATTTCTTCTCGCAAGCAAGGGGCAGAGCCCAATCACTGATTGTGCGTTTCAGTGTCGCACTCAGCTTCTCAATGGGTTTCCTCCCGCTGGCAAGCTCCAGCAGGAGAATGCCAAAGCTGTAGACGTCACAACTCTCTGATGCCTTCCCTAACATGGCGTATTCAGGTGCAAGGTAGCCAAGGGTCCCCTTAACTCTCGTGGTGACATGAGTCGCGCCGTCAGGGATTAGCTTTGCAAATCCGAAATCAGCAACTTGGGCCACGAAATTTGAGTCTAGCAGAACATTGCTAGCTTTTATGTCTCTATGTATTATATGTGGGGTAGAGTGGTGGTGGAGATACCTGGATCAATCAAATTAAGAGGTTAACTATGTGTAATTGTTACATTAGGGGATAGAAATATGAGTTCAGAACTTACGCAATCCCCTCCGCGGAGCCAATTACAATGTTCATCCGTCTGTTCCAATCGAGTTGGCATTCGGCTGAGTGTTGGCCATGAAGATGAGAAAGCAAGCTCAAATTCGGCATGTAGTCATACACAATCAAGCGCTCTTGTCCTTCAGCACAATATCCACGTAAACTCAGCAAATTCTTGTGACGAACTCGTGCCAAGATCTCAACCTCAACAGAAAATTCCATGTCTGCTTTATTGCTCCAGACCTTTAACCTTTTAGCAGCAATCTGCACATACATGTCATATCCAGTCAGTATTTTATCCAATTCTTATAAAAAAACGAGATCAGTAAAATATGAGCAACTGAACAACCATTAGTCAGATGAATTATTAGGAGCTCGGATCAATCCAACTAATAAATGTATCTTCTATTTTAAAGCTCACCGAGTTTCAATTCCAAATACTAACATTACCGTTTCTGGCTTGCATAGCATGTGGCCAGGACTGCCAATATCTAATTTGTATAGCTAAACGTACTAAAATCTAATACTAACCGTTCGGCAATAAATTGGTTGTTTGCTTACAAAAGATGGGTGTAAAATTAGGCAATCTCAGTGAAACATGATCCAGGACAAGATAAATATGAATCATGTAACAATTATCCCATTTGCACTGATTGACTTTAACACTAAAGCTCTCATAGAAGTGTCATGTCATATTATGTCGTTCATAATTTTAGTAGTCACTTCTCTAGACAATCTGACAGATTTCACCCATGCATTTGCAGCACACAAATATCCAAGAAAGATCTCTGATTGAACCAACCAGTTTTGTCAATCCTCATCATCAAGTTAAACAAGAATTCGGAACTAGGAAACTACTTCAAAACCAAAAGCATAAAAAAGTCACAGCAATTCTTTTGTCCTTCGCAGAACAAGCTATTTACTACCATTAGGAAACCACATAATGGCATATTATTCAACAAATATTGGATTTCATTCATTAGAAACATACAAAAAAGAAAAATTGCATTTGGTAATTACTTGTGATCCATCCCAAAGCTGACCCCAGTAAACACTGCCAAATCCGCCTTCTCCGAGTTTGTTGTCATAATTGAAATTGTTTGTAGCAGCATGTAGTTCCTTCAAGGAAAAGACCCTCCACGTTGGCTGTTTCTTCCCACGATCTTTTCTGCAACATCAAATTTTATTGAAACCAAAAAGGCCGTGACTATGGGGATCAATAGCTCTTGAAACTGATGAAATCAACTTAAAATGCTACACTGGACTTTAAATGTGAAGCAGCTGCTAACAATTGTCATACATTGTAATTAGAAAATTGATAGAAATATGAGCAAAATGAAGAACATGGTTACCTTAAGACTGAATTACATGCACATCTAAACAATCAGGGGCCCTTTTGGTTCATAGGTTTGAACAGCAAAGTTTAAACAAAAATTTAAATTTTATGAGAGAAAACACTATAGTTAAAGATTTGAACAGTAATTCAAACCTATGAAACAAACGGAAACTCAATTCACTGATCTGTTGTGTCTTTTTTTTTTTTAGGGCATCATTTATTCTTCTCTTTTCTTTCCCATTTCTTAGTAGCCAACAAGAAGACTACAAGATAGTTATCTTACAGACACCCATATCCATGTACTTCTCTCTTAAATCTGAGCTAAATCCATAATTTCAAATCACAATTTTAAAAAAATCAACCTTGAACCATTCCTTCAAGTTATTTTTTATTTTTTTTTATTTTTTTCCTTTCAATCACCAGAAGAAAACCAATATTTTTTTTTCATAGGTTGTCCCAGAATTTTCGGCTAAAACCAGAACTTAAAAGTGTCTCCCTTTTCTATTTATCACCCAAACAATACAATACCAGAATAATTCTGTAATACCCAGATTAAGCTATCACTCAAACAAGCTATCGAATTACTGAACAAACGAAAACAAGCAAACACAGAATAATCAAAACCCAAGAAAAGTTTACAAACAGCTCTGGAATAAACAAAAAATAAAATAAATTTAACAAGCATACCGATCTGAGCCTCTTCCACAACAGAAGATGAAAGCCATGACAAAAATCACCCGACCAATCAAAACCCACTTCCTCCTCGGTCACTCCGAAACCAAATCAGCTACTAATAATACTTATCTACTGTTTATACATATCTCTTTTTAATAATTTCGTACTTTCTTAGCTTGTTGGACTTGGACCTGAAGATGACAAGAGACTGCGCATAAAAGCTTGGAATATGAAGAAGAGATAGAAGGTGAGAACATTTCTTTCTTTTCTGGATATGGGTTTATTGAGATTTTGGGTTTGGTGGGCAAAAGCTAGAGTTTCTTCTGGCGAATGTAAACACTACCCAGATGGGATTTTGCGGAGACAAATTTGTCTTGAGCAAAAGTCTTGCACTTTTCCTTCTCCAAGCAACTTCCTTTCTTCCTTTTTCTTTTCTTTATTTTTTAAGGGTTTTTTTTTTTCTTTTTTCTTTTTCTCTAAGCTTGTTTTTTTTTTTTTTGTCCAGCTGTGTTCAATTTTCAAAATAATACAGATGGGGCCAAATTATAATTTTATCTTTTTGCCATTACCAGATCGCCTAAAGCTATTGCAATTATTTTATTTATTTTGTGGTTTTCTTGTGGGGATAATGAACAAGTTTGGGTCCCTTTTGTTTGTTTGCTTCTATTTAGGAGTAAGTTGCAACTGAATTTCAAACATTTTAAGAATAGGCTAATAAGTTTTGAAATTCAAAAAAAGCGGGCATGCAAGTATCTACGGTTGTGACTTGTGAGACACCCTTATTCATTTTATAACTCAAGTTACAATTTAAAATTTATTATTATAATATTTTCTCTCATAAAAATTTAAATTCAATTTTTTTATTATAATATTTTTTTCTCACATACACAACTTAACTTATAACTCAAGTTATGACTTGAGTTGTGAAATGAACATACGGTCTCGTTCATTTCACCAATTCGAGTTTTTAATTTCATTTTTACTATAGTTAAAAGCTCTTACAAAAAGTCACATCTAATTTTTTCTATTTTAATGAAAAGTTCTCATATAAAATCGCATCTTAACTCGAATTAAAAACTTAAATTTGTAAACTGAACGAGGCCACAGTATTGTCAGAATAAATAGATTAGATTGCAGATTGTAAAATAGAACTAGAAAAAAAAAAAAAAACAATTAGTGGAAGGGATAGAAAATAAAAAGGAAGGAGTAGTAAAATAGCAACGTACAAAAAAAATATATTTAAAAGGGTAAAAGCGGGATTTTCCTTCATGTATTTCAGTCTTTGGTGGAAGAGAGAAAAAAAAAAAAAAAACAACTGATACATATGAGATGCTGATGCATCATGTTTACCATATTTATAAAATGTAGGTCCGTAGGATGAGAATTGAGAACTTGTAGCCCAGATCTACAAATAGTGAATTAAATGATGTACTTTTCTTTCAATCTCAGAATCAGTAATTTTTCATTTCAAGGGTAAAACTCAATCTCAATAGTTGGTTGGTTTGGATTTCCTTCTTTTAGAAAATTTGTCTAAGTGGTCCTTATCAAACTACTATTATTTTATGGAACAATTATTTGTTATGTACCGGAGTCAATTGTACATGCTTTCGTAAGAAAAAGAAGAAAAAAAAAATGCACACGTTGGCATTTAGCCCAACAAACCTAGCATGGCATCCAATAGTTAAAATATTAGTATTATTATATGAGGCTTATTATTTCTATCTCTTACCCTAAAAGAATATTTTTCTCTCTCTTATTTGGAAAATTGTTATATCATTTGTTTAATCATTGATTCATTCATTGATCGGTTGTAAGGATGGGAGATAAACTTGCAGAAAAAGCTATCAATTCTATTCCTTCTATGAACTTGTGTCCAATGCACTAATAATAGAATTGAGGCAATTCCAAAAGAAACAAAGAAAGAATAGAGACAAAATTACGAATCTAGACAAAATTACCCAATAAATGTCTAATTGATATATATATATATGTATATGTATTGCTGAACTTCTAATTAATGTGAGTTACATAAAATAAATAATTTCAAAACAAATCGCTCATACAAATTTGTCCTGAATTTCTCAATAGTCAATATAGTTCACTTTGTGGATATGTTTTTGAGTACTTGTACATATCATGACATAAACTTTGTTTTCCTTTTTATGACTCCACAATAACTTGTTGAGGAAAAAGTAGAGATCAATTTATTGGGTTGGATGATTGCATTGAAACAGTAGTAATTTATTTGGGCGTTAAACCATCCACATATGTGTGGGGTTTTGCATTAATTGCAATTAAGTGATTAAAGAACAAACATAGAAAGGATATAAAAATACTTGTCCCACAACAGTCTGCTAATACAGGTCTAGGCTGTTAGCCAGTGCATAATTTCCCAGTTGGTAAATTGGTAAAAAAAAAAAAAAAAAAAACTGTAAAATTAAGCCATAACATCAAATATGTAACTTCCTTGTTTCCATACATGTGATATCAATTGATTACCAAATTTTAAGAACTTTAACAGGAAATTATTTGGCTTATTCAAGTTGTGTATTCTAAAAATAATTCCAATTTCCAACAAACTTTTTTTTTCATGTTTCCTTATTTTATTATTAGAAAACCTTCATATTTGGCGCGTTTAGAACACGTTTTAAAATGATTTTTTTATATGAAAATGAAAATGAAAACGTTTTCAATCTCAGACAGAAATCATTTTTGAAAATGTGTTTGATACTTTTATCAGGAGATTATTTTCAGTTAAAAAACCTATTAATGTCTCTCTTTCTGTGCTCAAGAGAGGAGAAAACGAAAACAAGAAATGAAAACGACAAAAGTCATTTTTTATTTATCTCTCATTTTAGACTAAGCTAAAAAATCATTTTCATTTCCCTTTTTTATCTTTATTGCGCCAAATACCGTTTTAGAAATGTTTTCATTTTTTCTTTCTCAAAAAACGTGAAAAATAAAAACGGGATCAATTCCAAACACAACTATTATGTTCCAGTCACCTTTTTATTATTATTTTTTTTGCTTAATAATTTTTTCAAATGCTTGAAAATATAATAGTGATTTGTCTTTTTCCTTGTCATATTTGTTGATGGTAAAAATTCGTCAACAGATTAGTAATAGATTTTTGGTGATTAGTGTGTGGATTAAACAGATTAAAACGTGATTAAAAAGGGTTAAGAGAAAATTAACACAAGAATTTTATAGTGGGTTGTCCTTGGAATTCAAGAGCTAAGTCCACTGTGAAGAGGGAAAAATCTTCACTATGAACTCAGAGTACCAGTTTTCTTACAGAGTTATCTCGTGAGCCTCTCAGCTCACCATTTCTACGTATATATTGGCTCACTTCCCCTCAACCTCTGCCATTTCCATCATTACATTTCATCATTATATTATGTTACATCATCTAATATTTTGGATTTAGCCGTTGGCGGTGGAGTGTCTGCCAATCAACAGTGATTTGACCCTTGCTCATTGACCAAGGTTTAGTTTCTTCCTCGGGTTGCGTGTAATTGGCCCTTTGGGCGCCAATCATGCCATCTTCGCTTATGCTTGCCTGGAGTAGTCGAGCTCTTATATGTCTGATGCCTCTGTGCGGTCGATGCCTCGCTTCCAACATTCCTTTATGGTTGACTCTTTTTTTTCATGTTTCCTTATTTTATTATTAGAAAACCTTCATATTTAGCGCGTTTAGAACACGTTTTAAAATGATTTTTTTTATATGAAAATGAAAATGAAAACGTTTTCAATCTCAGACAGAAATCATTTTTGAAAATGTGTTTGATACTTTTATCAGGAGATTATTTTCAGTTAAAAAACCTATTAATGTCTCTCTTTTTGTGCTCAAGAGAGGAGAAAACGAAAACAAGAAATGAAAAACGACAAAAGTCATTTTTTATTTATCTCTCATTTTAGACTAAGCTAAAAAATCATTTTCATTTCCCTTTTTTGTCTTTATTGAGCCAAATACCGTTTTAGAAATGTTTTCATTTTTTCTTTCTCAAAAAACGTGAAAAACAAAAATGGGATCAATTCCAAACACAACCATTATGTTCCAGTCACCTTATTATTATTATTTTTTTTGCTTAATAATTTTTTCAAATGCTTGAAAATATAATAGTGATTTGTCTTTTTCCTTGTCATATTTGTTGATGGTAAAAATTCGTCAACAGATTAGTAATAGATTTTTGGTGATTAGTGTGTGGATTAAACAGATTAAAACGTGATTAAAAAGGGTTAAGAGAAAATTAACACAAGAATTTTATAGTGGGTTGTCCTTGGAATTCAAGAGCTAAGTCCACTGTGAAGAGGGAAAAATCTTCACTATGAACTCAGAGTACCAGTTTTCTTACAGAGTTATCTCGTGAGCCTCTCAGCTCACCATTTCTACGTATATATTGGCTCACTTCCCCTCAACCTCTGCCATTTCCATCATTACATTTCATCATTATATTATGTTACATCATCTAATATTTTGGATTTAGCCGTTGGCGGTGGAGTGTCTGCCAATCAACAGTGATTTGACCCTTGCTCATTGACCAAGGTTTAATTTCTTCCTCGGGTTGCGTGTAATTGGCCCTTTGGGCGCCAATCATGCCATCTTCGCCTATGCTTGCCTGGAGTAGTCGAGCTCTTATATGTCTGATGCCTCTGTGCGGTCGATGCCTCGCTTCCAACATTCCTTTATGGTTGACTTCCTGCATTATCTTGCGGTCGAATGCTACCAAGCTTCACGAGTATTTTATGCCGAATTGCCTTGGTCATTAATCTATTAACCATGCCATGTGGCATTCATCTAGTGCATGACGTGGAGCGTGAGATTTTTCTACACATTCATGGGTTTAGGTCGGCGTAACATGTTCCCTCTGCCGATCTGATTAAATACTTCCTCCGTCCCGACAGTTAGCTCATGGTACGAGTCGTACCGTTGGAATGGGCACAGCCTTCGGTGGTCCTCTTACCTTGTATTTTTCACTTCTGCCTGGGTTGTCGTCGCACCCGTATGTTTATCTCCGTCCCTATGGCCTCGTCGTTTTTAGCTGTCCTGCTTTCCTGACGACGACCCTTGTTTCAACCCCTTGTTCTTATTTGATCAGTGCTGAGGATTGTTTTTCTTGGCTTCTTCAGCGTTGATGTACCCTTGTGCCCTTGCCAAAAATTCCTAGTAGGTGGAAGGCGGCTTGCGATTCAAGTCACGCTTGAACGAGGTATTCTTCTTCATACTGGATAAGGCCCCCATTAAAGCCTCCCTGTCCGTCATATCAACAGTTTTGGCGACTGCTTCAACGTACCTAGCCAGCTACTCTTTCAGTGGCTCATTTGGTTTTTGATAAACCATAGTCAAATTTTGCTTTGGCGGGATGTATTTCTTCACCCTAATGGACTGTAAGGAGAAGGCTTATTTCAGTTCTTTCCAGCTGAAG